GCATCAGTTTTTGTCTGTTACCTCTTGTCCTATTGCTTGGCACCATCAAGCAGAGCCTGGCTTCCCCCTCTGACACCCTCCCTTCAGATAATTATATACATTGATGAGGTTCCCTCTCAGTCGTCTCTTGAGTCTGAACAGGCCCAGCACCCTCAGCCTATCCAACATTATTTTACCTCTGTAATAATTGTGGCAAGAAGTGTCTATCCTTAACCGAAACTTTCCACTTCCTATGTAACATTTCTCAGGCTACCCAGCCTGAAAAAAACCCCTAGCAACATTAGCCAAAACATGTTTAGCACACAGTGATATTTCAATTCCTGAGACAATCTACACGCACTCACTTCTGACTTACTGTCTTTGAGAGCAGCGTGTTTCAGTAAGACAGCACTCAAAGACCAATCATCATGAATATGAATGTCAACAAGGTAGCAGTAGGAAGCAAAATGCCTACATCCAGAATATCTAAGCACCACTAGGATACTTGCCTCTGCCACAGAGATTCAGGTATGGCCACCCATGAGCAACACAGAGAGATTGTAACATTCCTGAACTACATCCAAAAGTAGGTCTTTCTTTCTGCAGTAGTCTCCCCTAGAAGACACCAGCTGCCTAGAGCATGATTATCCAAACTTTTATCTTTAAGGACCATTCAACTTTCTGAAAGAGGTCCCTGGAATGACTCACTGCTTTTTGAGTCAGAAAAAGAATGAATAAAGTATTCATTATGTAGAGAAAATATTTTTATTGGTTTTAGACAATTTTATTAACATACTTACAAATATTTTAGTTTTGAAATGTTCATGTCACTTCACATTTGCCTCAGGTCTTAACATGTCAGGATGGACTCTTTCCCGAGTCAGCTCAGTATATATTAACAATTGTAATGCAACTTTTTAAGTATCTAGGGGGGTGTTCTTTTGTTTCATTTAATTAATTCCTGCCTTGCAGCTCACCTTTTGATGTCTTATAGAACACTAGAGGCTAATTTACTACAATTACTGTAACACTATCTCTAGAGCCTTTTGATCCTCAAACAAGGTGAGAAAAAGCAAATCCCCAGGAATCCCCTTTGCCAGTCTCTTTTGCAATCCACACTCCTCCCTCAGCCTCTCCTCATCACCACAGCATTAGAAATGCTTCTATGGAAGATAAACTATTGTGTTCTTGCCAAAGGATGACACCTGTATGTGAGAGCACAGAATTGTTCCTTTTACACTCTGCTCATTTTCCTTTTCAGATCATCATATGACACAAATCCTGTAACTGCTACCCTAAGATGGATTTTAAGCTACTCAAGCAGGGCCTTATCTCTCTGACAGTAACTCCCTGTCTCACACCATCTATTGTTCCCTATACTAATCAGTTCGAATTTTATGAACCAGTCTAGAGCTTTCACTAAAGTCACTTTGTGGTGAGCCACATTCTGAATTCCCATGATAGTGGAATGTAAAAGAAAATGACACCTATTCCAAAATACCCTCCCTAAACTGAGGCAAATCAACCTGGAACTGAGAAATATGAATAGGATCAGGTTTTAACCCCTGAAAATGTGTTAAGAACTGATAATTTTGAATGCTCTACTCTGTTAAACTTAAGAGTTGATCTTACACTGGTCTGGTTTGTATCACAGCATGCTTACATACAGATCATCTCTTTTCCAATGCCAAACTGGACTCACTCAACTCAGTGATAAACCTCCTACAGACCACAGGATGCTAGGATTTCCCTCTATATGACTTTCTCCTCGAAAAAGTATGTTTCCTATGTATTTCTGGTAAGATACATCAGATTCACAAGGGAATTTTTCAGGGAAAAAATTTGCACTGAGAAAAAGATCTCCAGGAATTTTTCTCTCAGCACTGATAACATTAAGGTCCACATTTAAAGAACGTTATATACATTGATGTCCTCCAAATTAGCACAGAAATGCTCCTGGTTTTTTTTCTCTCTTTCCTGGGCATACTCTTTCAGAGCCCAGATCCTCCCATGGGACTTTTCCAAGCTATCCACCCGCCTGTAGTTACTTTTGCTATGATAATGAAGGCTCAGGAGGGGGTATGGGGACAGGTCCTCTGCCCTGCTTACCTCATAGAAGAGCCCTTCGGGGAACTGCTGAAAGCACTGGGCGCAGACGAAGCACTGCTCGTGGTACAGCTCGCCATTGCTGTTGACAATTTTCTCGGCAGGAGCAAAGCCCCCCCTGCAGCGCTCGCAGATGGCGTTTGCAAGAGCATTCGCCATGTTGCTGTCATTCAAAAGAAAAGAAAATTAATAGAAAATTAGCCTAAATAGACAGCAACACTGGTTGTGGGTCTTCCCCCCCCCCCCCACCAGGCCAAACTGCATCAACCTAATGCTAAGCTGCTCAAGACAAGTTTTTCAATGAACTTCATGGCTTGTGGCATCTCCTCGGAAATAAAGCTACCACTTCTCCTGCTTCCTAACTCTTTAGAAACAAAATCCCTGTGATACGCTCTAATTAATTGAAACCCCCAAACAGAAACGTTGTCACTACAGACACATTTACAGGCTTTTTATGATGAAAAAAGGCAATTCAAAGTACTATAAAAATTATGATATACATTAAAATTACTGAAAACAAGGGCAAATATTAATGATGGAGGACTGGCATCACACAGAAAAATATAAACAATTTATTGTAAACCAATTCTAATAGATACATATGTAAATTCTAAAATATACATATACAATGGCATTAGCTCAGAGCTCTAAATAAACTGTGTGATAGAGTGTGCAGGATCTAGTCTGGCAGTTATTGATGAAAAACAGAGTAGTTAAATAATTATTCTTTATACAAGCTCTGCATAGTTTGAAGTCATTTTACAAATTTAGTTTGAAGTAATGGGATTTTTGATTGGTTTGTTAAGGTTTATCTCAGGGAGGTCAGCTCATCACGTGCCAGCCCACTCCAGGGCCAAGGGGGAGGGTGGGAATGCTCTGGCTGCCCTACTGCAACCCACACACAAGCCAACACAAGCTGGCAAACCCATGCCAGAGATGCAAAGAAATATTGAAACAGCAACCTTGGCTGCTTCTCAAAGGCACAGGACCAAAAAATGGCAGTGTGGTAGCTGTCCACATCTGCAGAAGACAGTACAGATATGTTTCAGTTAATTAAAGCCAGAAAAAGGCTCTTTTGAGTTTTCCTTTGCAAACGTTTTGTCACTCATATCTAGACTCTCAAAGCTCTGCCTTTCAGGATCATCTCACTGCCCTAATACCATGTGGTAGCAGAGAGCAAATATAGGGCAATGGTCTAGTTTTATTACAATGTGATGTCAGCTGACAAAACCACTGACTCAAAATTTATTGGAAGGTTATTAGACAAGTGACATTATTTGAAACGCATGTGCATGCATGCACACATTTTGATACAGCTATCATGCCGTGCCTGTGAGTGCAGAGCCCGCAGTCCCCTGCAAGATGCCAAGCCTTCTTTCTTATCCCTTCAAGGGGACAACACCTCTGGGCTCCCACCATGTTCAACAGGAATTGAATGCATTCCTTGCACACCATCCAAGGGAGCAAGCGAACACCTAGCACGTGGTTCAAAATGGAATGTGTTTTATCTATTTCTTACACTGTCTCACAGAAGAGCCCTACACAAGGTCACATCTGACATGTTATTATTAGCTGGCACTTTTTTTTCCTCTCTCTTGATCTTTGCAGATGAGGAAAACGACAACTGCAATCCAAATATCCACTGCCTTCACAGTGGAATGAGTGGGCAAATTTCACATGAAGATCAGATTCAGGATGGTCTAACCCATACAAAATAGACAGACCTATGGACAAACTGCAGTGACTATACACATAAACTGTGATCAGCTATAAAGCTCGCCAATGGTCTTCATAGACTGTGTATGCTTTCTGTGGGGCAAAACCTCAGTCAATTTCTCCATCCTCCTTAGCAATCTAAATGAAGAATAATTACAAGAGAAACAGGGATCTTTCATAATCACTTCAACAGTGCTCAAGCATTAAGGATGCTAAGCACTGCTGTATGTAAAGTATAATCCAAGCAAAAACATGAAACAAAGTTCAAAACCAAATAAAAACAGTTTCCCTCTTCAGGAAAAAGTGCTTCACTTTGAAACACATCATATATGTAAAACTAGTGAAGTATGTAATACTTCTGCATTAATGAAGCGGTTTATCCATTTGCCCAGAATAACTGGCAAACAACCTGAAGGCAGAGAGACTACTTTAAAAATTCCAACACCATTTTTACTGCTGATAAAAATTTCTGATGCAATTAATGATGAAATTTAAAGTAACAATCCAAATTTTAGTTGACATTTACAACTGGCAATGTTTCAAGCAGAACAGTGGCAAAGGTTGGATGAGAGAACAGCTTGCACAGCCTGAGCCCCAGATAATAAAATACATTATGTACAATACACCAGTAACGTCACTGCAGTTACACCCCGAAGCTGAACAGAACAAACTTACAATCTTGCATAAAAGTCACAAAACTCTTTGTAGAGTTTTATTTCACTGTGCCTACGTTGCAATTTTGACACCGGTTTCTCGCCTTCATTTCCTGCGGAGTTGTGAGCATCGGGAGCGACCTTGTACGCAACCTCTTCATCCTCTGGGATGGGGAAGGGCTGAGTTCTGTACTGGAAGTCCATCTCGCTCTGACTGCTTTCCCAGGTGTATATATTCTATGCTTACACTGCAAGCAAACGGCAGGCAAAGTCCGCAAAACAATATGCTGGACTTCCCCTTGTTCCCAGCGAAGTGATTTACTTGCACAGCTCGTGTCATGTAGCTGGAGCTACTCAGCACCCTGCTAGAGCTTCAAGTTAAAAGTTCAGCGGCGGGGCTGTGAGCCTGTCACACTGAGATTTACTGAGCTGGCTGTGCACAGAGAACACTCCCCTGCCAGGCCCTCACGTCAACTCGGATGCTGGAAAGGGGCTTTGCTGCTGGCTGCCGACAGAAGCTACCCAGGAGAGTGGTGGTGTGAGTAATCTATGTGAGCAAATAAGTTCACCACCAAACTTGGCTGCAGCTTCTTTCTGCTGAGGGGGCATGGAGGCAGAGTCCAACAATATTTTACCATGGGCAAACTCACAGTGGAAAGCAGGAACAGAAGACTCCTGTCTCCAGGTAAATATTGCTTTAATGCTATAGTGTGTTAATTACATTGTAAAAATGGCTTTCAATTCTCCACTTGTGTCTTCTAAGTCATATGTATTGAATTTATCTATTGTGTCGTTCTTCTTGTCACTACTTCACTCAAGGAGTAGGTACAGGCAGATGGTTTAATTTCTCTTGTGTTTCTCAGGCCATTAACAAAACTGATAGGCATGCCATAATGGACAATATATGAAGGAGGAAAACCAAGGATTTATTTCCAGTGATGAGCTGCATGTAGAACAACTATCCAACATAAGAACACTAACTGAAGTAAGACTTGCAGCTAATAATGCAGACTCCTTCAATCTTTCCCTCTTTGAAGCACAGTGCTAGTCACAGATCTGGGATACTCAGCTTCCAGCACTTTCTAACTGCAGAAAAGGAAGGCTTTTGGGAAGTCCTCCTGAGTAACGAACTTTTGTGTTGAACTGTCTCAGCCTTGTTAGCAATCAGTTGAAGTGCAGAACTGCATGCACTTTGTGCTCATGACACACAGCACACTGGTAGCTGAAGAATCTGCTAGTCGGTGAGGGGGCATGAGGAAGCAGAGGACAGCAAGAAGATGAGTAACAGGAACAAATAGAGAAACTAGAACTAAGATCAGAGAATAATAGAATCATTTAGATTGGAAAAGACCTCAAGACCACTGAGTACAACCATTAAACTAATATTGCCACATTCACCACTAAGTTATGTCCCCAGATGCCACATCTACACGTCTTTTAAATACCTTCAGGGATGGTGACACTGACACTTCCTTGGGCAGTCTGTTCCAGTGTTTGGTAACATTTCAGTGAAGAAATTTGTCCTGATCTCCAATCTAAACCTCCCCTGGCACAACTTGAAGCCATTTCCTCTTGTACTGTCACAGGATACGACAGAATGTCCAGTCAAGGCTACAGTTTCTTAATATATCTGTACCTTCCCTAGGACCTACCACGGTGGGTCCAGTCGGTGATGGTTTTTGGCCATATCTCTCACCACCAGCTAGAACAGCTTGCTCAGCAAGCATACAGCAGCCCACATGCCGCTCTCCATGCAGGCCTGAGCTTGCATGCAGCCACCTTCCTGCAGCTCAGCCAACGCAGTCCTATGCTGCTGCTTCTGCTGACAAATTTGTGGAATGGGTTTGGTCAGTGTCTTTCCTTCACTTCCCCTCAACAAGGAACAACCCCCTAGGCAAGCTATTTCCCTGTGTAGGTGGGACCCAGGCAGCATGACTGTCTGTAGGTGTGATTATTCACCCTAAGCCAGAGCTACCAAGAGTCAAGCTCTAACAGGCTAAGGAGGCTGCACCCTCACCACTGACACAGCCTGGCTGCAGCTCAAGCCCTATTTTTATCTGTCATGGGGCAAGCTGCAGATGAAGCAATGCTCAGATTGTAGCCCAAGGGCACAAAGATCTTGCCAGAGCACCACTGCAGTCCTGGAATAAAAGGTTTCTGCATTCTCTGAAACATGAGTGATGAAAATGTGCAGTGTCTGCCAACAGACATGCAGGTATAGTGATGCCAGCTCTTCGTCTTGCTTCCCAACACTTCTTGCATGGGTCAGTGCTGAGCTTCTGTGGGTATAAAAAACTTCAGCGAGACTGACTGCAGTGGACTAAAATTGCTGATTCATTCAAGATTAGTAAAGGTGCATGAAACTACTAAGATAATAAACAGCACTATTTCCTCTTAGCACTATTTTCTCAACAATTTCCCAACTCTTTTCCTATATTTCATCCCAGATCACAGACAATTCTCCTGGGAAGATGCTGCTGCAAATCAAAAGTGCCCTGTAGAGACTTTCTCCTGGTGGACTACTACAATTTTGCAGTAACCTGAAATCCACAGGTGACCAATGTGGTTGGAAGCCACTTCTGCTGCTTCATACCCTCTTTGGTCAACAAGAAAATATTTGATTGCTTCTTCAGCTTGCATGGCTGTAGCAAAGCAAGTAGTACAGCAAGTTAGTGCAGTAAGATGTCCATCCAAAATCCTGGTTTTATCTTCCTAGTTTTCGTCAGGAAGAAGTCCTTCAAAGTAATAGGATTTCATATGTGCAGTAAGTAGAAGCTGCCTGGTTCTCCAGTCACATTACCACTGCTGCTGGAGGAATGACTCCCAATTTTTCCCATTAAACAAGAAGGAGCCTGACAGGAGTTTAAAAAGAGCATTTATGCTACTGAAGCAAAACACAGCTTCCACTGTGGAGGTCTGGTAATCCACAAATACAGAGCAGCCGGGCATCCTTCTCTTTTCTGACATTTTGTAAGAGGCATGCTGCCAAGATCTGAAATACATTGTTAAAAATACACTGCATTTTCATTAGGGAATTCTAGGTTACTTTGAGGTGAAGCTGTCCATGGAGAGTGACAAGTATGTAAGGGGTGTTTTGCAGCAGCAGCAGCTTCCCAAAGGCATTCCCTGGGATATGGGACAAAACATAGCAAGCAGCCTGTTGTTAAAGATGCAGTTTTAGGGAGAAAAGAGTGTTTAACTAGAAAAGGCAGGTATGAAAGAAAAAGACGTCTCCTCTTGGCACACTGAGGATCTTATCAGGAGCCACAACTGGTGGTAGGGAATGGAAGGAAATGGTAGAAGAGGGAGGGAGAAGTGCTCCATAGCAGTTACCAGAAGGGCTTTGGTAAACAATAGCAAAAATAGGCGCACTGCCTAGTCCCTGCTGAAGGATGACTGCCGCCTCACTCCACGCTGCCTCCTCTGCACAGCTTTCCAACCTGGCGGCCCGTGCCGGCGGCTGCCAGGGGCACACGGGGACTCTTACAGAGACGGCTCTGTGGCCAGCCAAGCCCGCGGAGCATTTCACTCCGTGCCACAAATAGCCGAGTGCGGAGCAGTCACGGCTCCAAACAAGGTGCTTGGCAAAGGCAGCTGCTGCTTGGCAACCTGTCCGTGCCACCGTGACATATCGCTGCCGAACGCCGGGACGGGGGGATGAGTAAGGACAGCGCATCCCACGGCCTCCCCCACGGGTACGAGTGGCTCCATTTCAATGATGCATTAACAGATCCTCCGCGGTGACTCTCACACGCAAAATACAGAACAACCTAGAACAGAAGCTGGGCTGCAAAAACGCGTGGGCTTGCAGTGCCCTGCTCTGATTTCTGCACCGACAGTTTAAAGCACTAGTTGACCTTTTGTGGGTTTTTTAAATTGAAATTGAAAACACTCTTGGGTTCTGGTTGCTGCAATTGTTTATCTCTTAAGCAATAAAATACTTTCCGTGTTAAGCTGGTCTCCTAAGGCAGTTCTAAACAAGGTATGAGTCTTTTATATCATTCAAATGCACATTCTATAGGCAGAATTTTCACATTTGCCCAGCACTGCTCTAACTACATTTTCTATTAAAAATTATGGAAAACCATCTTGAAACCACTGCAGTAAAAAATCAGGTGAATTCTGAGTGTTCCTGAAAGTTTCATTCTTTAGTCTTCACCTCAAAATGCACAATTAAGCTTATGTGGTGGGAGTTTAAACAGGGCAAACAAAAAGGCAATTCTAGTTGCTTCATATCCTCCAGTATAAATTTATTCTAGTATAAACATGTCCAAAAAATGCTTTGGTCTCCGCAAACAGAGAAGGTTCACATTCCATCTCTCCATAAGGAAGTAAATATAACTGGAATAGACAGGTAAGCAGCAGCTTCCCACACAATGTTTATCAGTCATTCAGGCACAGTGAAATATCAGCCTCTGACAGAATTTGTAGAAAGGGAGAGCAATACGCAACTACAGCATTTTCCTGTTAGAAGTAATATTTCAGCAAAGTATTGTGTTTTCTTCCTGCTGGCTACATCTATTACCAAATGAAGCCATGCTCTGTGTAATACCAAGTAATGACTTCTGTGTACAGATATTTGATACTCTTTAAAACATTCATCTCTTCCTCCCCCACTACTGTTTCTTTCAATCCTGTGCAGACAGGAAAAACAAAACAAACAGTATCATATCTGAGAAGCTCATGAACTCCAATAATTTTGTGTTGCATGAGACACAGCATATTATTGGTTATTCTTGAAATTTGCACCCTGCCTAGTCAACTGCATGCCTACTTCATTATGTATTCATATCCATATTCCTCAAAATCTATAGAATTTAAGGATGCATTTGCACTGATGCATTTCATGTAACACTTACATCCTCATTTCCAGTTTAAGAATAATAAAAAAGGTCAGCCACTCAATACTAGGGGCTGCACATCAAATGTCCCTGAGACACTTGCTGTGAAAAGAACCATCCTTTGAAGCCTGAAAAGAGAAGATCAAGTCCACCAAGCTCCAAAAAAGTGACAGGACAAGAAGAAACAACCTCTAGTTGCATCAAGAGAGGTTTAGATTGGACATTTTTATTTTTTTTTTCAGGCAGAGGGGTGTCAAGCATTTGGAACAGGCTGCCCAGAGAAGTGAAGCAGAGGCAACATCCCTGAAACTTTTTAAAAGACATGTAGATGTGGCACTTGGGGACATAGTTTACAGGTGGACTTGGCAGTGATGGTTTATTGGTTGGACTTGATAACCTTAAGAGGTTGTTACAGCCTAAATGATTCTATGATTCTAAAATGATGCAGTAACATATTTCTCTTTAGGGTAATGGTTTCCTGGCACCAATATTCAGTTCATGTCATCTGACACTGACATCCACCAAAAATCCTCCACTGAATCCTCAGCATAATGGCAAATGCCAGCCTTTGATTCTGCCTGAGTCATCTGCCTGCACTATGTGGAACCAATGTTTTGACAAGCTGAACACCATGACCTGAGCAGTTCATCCAGGAGCTATAATTAACACTATGACTCAACATAACACCCCAGCAATCAGGAGAGACTTCCAGTACATCATGCAGCTCCTTGTAGGGCAGAGAGAACTGCAAAACCAGGCTTCCCAGCCCACAGCAACATCCTTATTATAGTCACATCTCCACTGGTGACACCATGCTGAGGACTGACCTTCAGCTTTAGTAACCTGCACGTCACACACATCTTTTATTATTACTATTAATCTGCACTTTCAGCAACATAATCTCTTCTCACCTTCATTAATTTGAGCTTCCGTATGATGAACTGCAAAGTTTTTCATTGCCTGAATTAATTCATTTTGAGCAGAAGTACAATGTGTTATAGAAAACATCTCAGCTGTTCCTCTTCTCTCACACACATACCAAATTGTAATTATTAGTCATTCCAGGTTTCGATTTCACATTTTTCTCTTCCTACACTCACTACAGCATCACCAGGCTTTAAAACCTGCAGAGGATGGCAGACAGCTAAGCCATCTGCAGTTAATACCACAGCATGAAATAATAATAGCCCTAATATTCAATTGCCAAGAGAACAACCAGAAGTAGTTTATGTTCCTAAGACTGAAGAATGAGTAATGTGTCAACAAATAATGCTAACACAAAATGGCATTTTACCTTTATTACGGCAGTCTTAACATTTAAGGTAATGCAAACTAAAGGTCTTCATCTTGTACTTTACATTTATTAGCTATTCAGTGCTAGTAGCACACCTGTCAAGTAAACATGAATGAATTTCAGTAGCAGCTTGTACAAAGGAAGACTTCCATGCATTTTTGTAGCAGAAGGTTTGGCAAGGCTTTTTTAAACCTTTTTGCAACGTTTTTTTAAAGTAATGGTTTCTGTCCCAACACCTGACTAATCCTCAATGAGTAAAGAAGCAGTGGACAGTTACAGTATCTATTTTATGACTTAGGAGGGAACAAGATACAAAAGTTACTCCTCACAAGAATATACTGCTGGGATCATCCAAAAAGAACAGCGGGTTTTTTTGCTTGGCAGAAGAGAAGCAAAGGAAAGAGGAACGATGACAGGGCTTTGAGCTTTCAATCAGAGGGGCTCAAGCACTGCCAAGCCTCCTTCTGCTTTGCTTGATGCCCTGGTGTAATCTGAGGAGTAGCTTTAGAAAACATTTGAGTTTAAAACTGTGGAATTACTTGTACATTTCAGGCAAAATTCATAACCTGCAACTTGGCAGCTCATGGAATTATTCGACTCTGAAGCTGCTGCGCTGCTACAATATATATACTTTTTAAAAAGTATATATATTAGGACCAGCTTTGCAATGTATCAGAAATATAGGATATGCTTCACTTCAGTTTCTGAAGTCAGTGAGAAGAAATGTACAAAACAAAAACTGAAAACCAAATATTGTGCAGGACAAATAGCTTTCAATGCAAAGTTCCTGCACTGGAACAAGGGGACCAGCCAGGGCAGTTCTGAGGCTTGACTCTGAATGGGAGTCCAATAGTTCCACAGAAACAGAGTTCAAAAGGTAGACTCGCCTCAGGATCAAGAACTTTATGATCTATGAAGAGTGTGGCGTGCATAGATTTCACATTCTACAAAAGACAAGCATCATTTCACATTTGCTCTACCTTTGTCCACTCATTCCTTGCTGGAACAGCTTGAATATTTTGAATCTTTAATTTAAAAAGGCACAAGCTGAGAAATGCTGCCAGGTATTGCCATCTGTGTCTGTCAGTATGTTACTTACTTCCTTTGAGGCTAATAGTAAAAAGTTTTTAATTAATTTTTTTTCTAGCTCTATTATGTCCATTAGGGCATCCAGAAACAGCAGAAGAGCTACAAGGAAATATGTCACAAAAGTCAGAACCCAAATTTCCTGGACAAAAGATCAGAAAGGTTCATCTATAAAGACACATCACAGGATGACTTAGAATCTGCTGGCAAAATTGAGCAGTATCATCAAAAAACACCGCTCACAGATTATTATATATAAAAACATCATTTCAGATTCTACCAGCAACTACCTAAAATGAGAATTTCTACAAAGATGGAAGATACAAAGATGAAAACAGAACAATGGCAGCCTAAAGGTGCTATGACAAACCAAGCAAGGAAAAAAATAGCACATAACTATGTGTACTACACCATCAGATAATACACATGAAAACTCAGAGCACTGAGTGACTTAATAAATACTCTGAGATTGCTGGGTGCAAGGCAAGACCAGAGGAGTTGAAAGAAAAAACACTGAATGCCACAAACTCCGTAGGAAGTCTGTGAGCCACAGCTGGGGTTACTACCAAGGGCAATCCCATAAAAGGCTCACTCTTTCCTTCTACCTCCCTGCACAGGCACCAGCCTTTGGCCAGCCTCAGAAGCAGCATACTTGGCGAGCTGTTCCCATGCCTGGAGAGCATCATGTAAAAGGCTCATAGTTCTCTCGAGGACACTGTATCAGCTACCTTCAGGTTTCCCAGGACAGCTCAGAGACCTCAGGAAAACAAAAAATATACAGAAAGGGAATCCAAACTTACAACCTTTTAAACTGTTCTCCCAAATACTTGCAAGTTAGTAATTTTTATTAAGTGGTAACATTGGCATAATTTAGTTTTTCTCTTCTGTGTGTAAACTCACTTCAGTGTGACAGACTGCATTCAAAGGGTAGCTTAATACAGAAAGGGAATCCAAACTTACAACCTTTTAAACTGTTCTCCCAAATACTTGCAAGTTAGTAATTTTTATTAAGTGGTAACATTGGCATAATTTAGTATTTCTCTTATGTGTGTAAACTCACTTCAGTGTGAGTTTACACACATAAGAGTGCATTCAAAGGGTAGCTTAACTATAATGAAGAACAATAAGCAATCACAGTACATAAGCAATCACAGAACACCTCTGATTAGGTATCATCAGGACACAAGAAAACAATAGCAAAAGAAAAGAAATGTACAGTTTATCTTTAGTCAGCTAAAATAAGCTGTAAATAAGAGCAGTGAAAATCCTAACTGATATAATTAAAATCATAATTGAAGCTTACATGTTGACTAAAATAATAGATTTAAGAGGAAAAGGAATTACTGCTTTGGTTGATGTTACACAGGCAGCTATCTCCAGTCACTTGGAGTCATGAGAGGTGATAGTCCGGGTGAGCAAGTCAAACAAAATTGCTTCGTTGTTATGCAACATAGGAGACAAGGGGTGAGAGAGAAGGCAAGCAAAAAAGGGTGTGTTCCTCAGGAGTTATTTTAACCCCTAGAGCAATGAAAAGTACAGCACAAATCAACAGTAAAGCCTCTAGCCACGTGGATACCTCGAACTAAGGCACAATGCAAATGCTAGGATCCCAATATTTAAATCTAACCATGAAGCATATTTTTGCTGACTGTAAGTTAATTAATGGTACCAATCCGGTGTTACATTTACATGGACAAATTCCTTCTTCAATTAGAGCAGCTAGCAGACAAGCTGAAGTGTTTCTTAGTT